TTTCTCTTCCGATGCCCATGAATCGAGCTCCTCTCGGTGATGACGGCGGCCAATGAAGTTCTGCACGCCCTTGAATCGGTGTTACCAGAGGTGTGTGTTGTCAGAGACAAAAGCAATTCCAGCTGGAGGAAAAAGTGTTGCCACGTTAGTCAGGCATGAATACAGAGGTATCGTCATGCAAAGAAAGGAAGGCACGGAAAGTGGATATCGCGATTGTGTTGAGGCGCCTGCACAAGGTTGCCATGAAGAGAACGAGATGCAGAATGAGGCTTAGGCCGTGAATATGACGAAGGTGCTTAATGAGCGATGCGGCGCGTCGCGTAATCCAGGTCCAGCATATGCAATTGATTTTCACAGTAGGTAATGCACGACTTGCTGTAGGCTGGTGGAGCCTGGCTGAAAGAAGCAATTTCTAATGGAGCTGGATTTATGGGCCCTTGCTGCCAAAGCCGCAAAACAGGCACCAACGCCTTTGGAGCCGCATTGAACATTCGCAGCTGAACCCGGCCTGCAGCACAAGATTGATATTTTCGGTATTAATATATAGTAATATTAAGTAGGCAAACACGCTTTGCCACAGCCATCTATACCCCCCCAAAACGAGGAAAAGAGGAAAAGAGAGAGAGACAAGTATAGCAAATGCCAAACCACAAGCGAAAAAAAAAAAAAAAGTATACGCTCACGCTATTTTCCCTGCCCCCATCAAAAAAGATACGAGTATACAGAGTGTATATACCAACCCAACGCCTCTAATGAAGTGGATATAAAAATCAAAATGCCACGCAATGACAGGAGGAGTCCCTCAACTTGAATCAGATCCGCCAGTGATTTTGTGCCAAACTTTATCTATCTTGTCGGAGAACCAGTCCCATATGCTTTGCAATTTGTCTGGCGGTGATGAATCTGGAGCGCCATCTGGATCTTGAGGCTGTTGCGTTGGTGTCCCCGCTGCGGCTCCACTTGAAGCGGTGTGCAGCTGGAGCGAAGACGTCGTCATAAAAGTCAGTTGCTCCGACGCAGCAGCCGAAGAAGAAGTTGTTGGCTTGGGGGGGACCGACGGACGCTCAATGGTCTTGGTCTTCGCAGCTTGTGAAGATGTCGAAGTGAGAGAATAAGATGTAACCGGATCTTCCGGTATCTTAGGTTCATCTTCAGACTCGTGGGTGCCAATCGGCTGAAGGGGTAGACGTAACGTTCCATTGTTGGGCTTCGGTGTCAAGCCAAGCGAGTCACAGAGCAAATTATAGACTTCGATATTTTCTGATACAAGATTTAGCCACGTCTGAAACAATTCGGTGAGTACCATCCATTCCACTTTTGACTTACGGAAAACATCGACTTGGCTGTTCGCTGGATGAGGAAATGCTGGGCCTCTCGCGATGAAGATAGCCCTCATCAGCGGGTGCTCATGGTCATACCCGTGCAACCCACGAGGATGGTATACAAGGTTCTCCTTCTTAGCCTTCTCTACGTCAAATTCTTCTTTGGCGGCAATAGCCCAGCCGGTCTTGGGCACAATCCATAGAGGAGCAATGCGGTCGTTTTTGGAAAAGTGATATCGCTCCGGCATGTTCACATCACGGAGATAGACTTCAAAGTTGGGGTTAGATTTGGCCTTTTCCGCCAAGCCGTCGTATAAACCTTGTAGGTCATCGGGATTCTTCGGCCGAAGTCCATACAAAGGCCAGCCATCAGTGTGCTCAATCTTTGAGGTATCGATAAGATCCTCTAATTGGAGCACTCGAGTTGTATCTGTCGTAGCCATACCATGATCCGATACAACGATAACATTGACAATGTCTGTCAAATTTCGCTCGTCGAGTCCTCGGAAGATCTTGTCCATCATCGTATCGACCTTCTGAATCGTGGCTCGGATCTCTGTGCTGTTTGGCCCATATTTATGGCCGTGGCTGTCCACGTTGGGAACATATGCTGCAATGAGCTGTGGTCTCATCTCTTCGACCGCAACAGATCCACTCTCTTTCCCAGGCATATCCAGCCACCCAAGAATCCTTGAAACCTTGTTATCCAGCTCCTCTTTGCCATTGAACTTATCAACAAAGGCAGGCTCCTTGTTTAGGATGTGCGCTTCGCTTCCAGGCCACATGTGAATCGCAGTCCGGACACCCTGCTTCTCAGCCGTCACCCAAAATGGCTCTCCGCCCCACCACTTGGGGTCCAGACTCCGAGCTGGATCTGTATAATGAAACTCTGCCTCCAATTCGGGGTCCCAGAAAGTGTTTCCAACGATACCATGAGCCTCAGGATATAGGCCAGTGGCAAGCGTATAGTGGTTCGGGAATGTAACGGAGGGGAACGACGGGTGCATCCATTTGGGAGAAACGCCCTCTTTGACAAAGGCATTTAACCTTGGTGTGATTCCCCGCTGTAAAAAGTCGGCACGGAAGCCATCGAGACTTATAATGATAGTGGTAGGCGCAAACAGCGCAGTTCCGTTGCTGACAAGATGAACTTTAGAAGATTTCGCCGACTTCCGCCCCTTTGAAAGCTTCCAGGAAGCCAAGACTAAAATCGCAAATCCGATAGCAATCAACGAGTGAATGAATAGCCAGCGGCGCCAGCTCCGTCCTCGCTGTACCTTTGCGTTAGCAAAAGCATTGAGGTTCCGACGATCGTACTCTTCGCTTTCGCTGCTGGAACCCGTAGAGCTGCCCTCCTTCATGCCTCCCTCCTCCATTTCGTACATCAGCTCACCGTCCTCGCCATGCTGGGCCTCTTCCAGGATCCTCTTCCGCTTCGTTTCTCTTCTTGTACGTCTCTTCTGTTTCCTATTCTCAGACGAGCCCTTTTCCGCCGTGAGATTCTCGTTCGAGGAGCTGCCGCCAGTCGATATACTCCCCAGACTGGGCTTGCGCACCAGATTCTTGAAGGGATTAGGGAGCGCAAGAGCCGAGCCTCGCCGCACCAGTTCCTGCTTGCGTCTTGAGTCCGTCACCAGTTGGTCCAGCTCCTCTTCTTCCATCAGCACGATCCGGTCGTGGGCAAGGAGTTCGCGGCTGTTCCTTGCGCGCTGCTGCAGAGCATCGTCTTCACTGTCGGTATCTTGGTCTCGACTGTTGATAGATGACGCGTCATCGTCGTATGCCATCGCGGACAAGAGGGACGAATTGTCGCGGTCCACTCTTGCCTTTTTTGCATCTCGGCGACTGAGAGACATCTTGCCACGGCCTCAGAGAGCCCCTGAGGATGCAGCAAAGCAATTCCGCAGTCGTGCTATTCAAAGATCTTAGCAAGAGGCGAGGGTCCAAGATCGGCTCAATTATCCACCGGCCCACTTAGGCTGGCAGGGTACCTAGTACATGTACTTTGATTAGCGGGGCAAGCTGCTACCCTACTCTTAACTTCAAAATTGACTGCAATAGTTCTTGAGAACTCCGTTGGGAATAAGCTATTAATTACTAGGTAGACCTCTCCTTTTATCGTCTTCATGTTTACATCCGCCATTTGCCATCTTATATTATGCTTTGTTTTTTTTTTTTTTTTTTTTTCGTCTTGAGATGGTACCATAACCGCAGTGGTGAGAAAGCTGGTGCATAGGTACACTACCATATTATACTTTGGCTTCAATTCCATCCTTATGGGATGATATCATCTTTACATACGAGTACGGTAATTCTTTTTTTTATGCCATACTGATTGTATACAGAACTTTACAGCCCGGGAAGACAGAGACATTTGGTGAGGCATTATTTCAATATTGCTACTAATTTCTCACATGGTTGTCACCGTTGTGAGAGGCTTCTTATCAGTGTAAGCTGGCGTAGCCTCCATCACATACGCATGTCACGCCGCTGAGGTCGAAGCATTGTATATCGATGCTATTTTAGACAGATCCATATAAACTCCGTACGTTACAACGTTACATGGTTAACCAAGCCAAAAAAAAAAAAAAAAAAAAAAAAAAAAACGGAGGAAGAAGAAGAAGCCAGTCTCGTCACTGTTCCAAGATGATGCCCCGAAATACCCCAGATTCGCCATCGGAAATACAAAAGAGAGCGTCCTTAGGTTAAAGATGGTTCCCAAAATGAAAAAGACATAAGAAAACACCGACATGTGTGCCCAGTGTCAGAAAACCACGCTTTAGTAGCAGATCAGTCTCATAATCTTCTGTTACTGCTGCTCCCTTCGGTAGATGCTCCTGCGGATGACGACTCTGCCACAACAACACTGTTCCGGAGGGACGGGTTCTGCGGCCAACCTATCGGCATATTCGAAGATCGCCGTTGACTTGCCCTACTATGCCGAGCCGACTGGTTAATAACCAGGGGTGCTTCCGTCGAGGTATTGTTTGAGCTGCTGCCCTGCAGACTACCATTGCTTCCCGAATCTCTGCTCTTTGTAACTACCTTTTCTTTGATAACGACTCCTTTTTCTTTCTCACCCCTTTTTCGTCCGGCAGCGGCGGCCGCGGCTATACCTCCACCCGCGGCAAAAGTGGTGATGGCTGCTGAGGCAGAATAGTAAAATCCTTTGGCAGAAAAATAACACCCTTTCAGCTGAGCTACAGGCCCTTGACCAGATGTCTCGTCCAGGAAAAGGAAACCCATGGTTCCTATCACGCTAGCGATGACAAGAATTGTGAGAATGGCCGCCCCAAACCTATCGCCTCCGTTGATGGGTGCATAGTCTGGACCATTTGGCTGGTCCCGACCCAAGTCATCGCCGCCACCACCAGGGTCTCCTTGGCTGGTGCCTCCCCTGTCGGCAGTGAGGGGAGCACTGCTATTGCCGATTAGGTTGGCCATTGTGACTTCAAGAGCCGCCATTTGCTGACCGACACCAGTCGTTCCATCGTAAGAGTTGTTACTCCAGATGAGGCCGCACATACGCCCATTCTTGCCGCCGACGCATTGCTTCGCCGCAGCAATCGAGGATGCTCGGAGGTATGGCATGACTGTATTATAAGTGTGAGGAGCCCATTTGGTGATGTTGGCCAGCCAGCGACTCAAGTATGCCTTGAATGAGTGCTCATCAACGTTACAAGTACCGACCGACTCACACGCAACCTCTGCCATGATATTGCTTTTGGGGCCCGTGAAGAACACCTTGCTGCCAGTGATGAGATTGTCTAGGCGATCCTTCCAGACCTGCGACTCTGTATAATTATACATGGCAGCTGCACCGAGGATCATGCCTCCGGCATTGTAGGTGAATTGATAAGGCGTGAGGACGGTACAGTTGGTCTCGACATCGGCGCCGTCATAAACGTACCAATTTGTAGTGTTGATGAACTTGACGCCAATCATCCAATTCCACGTCTTCTCGGCCCAATCAGCGTAGGTCTGGTTGCCGGTATACAGAGCCAATCTGGCACCGAGGGCGAAGAAGCATGCCTGCGAAATTGAGTTCTATGCATTAAGTTAGTTTGATTCGACGAATGTTTATATTTGGGCAGAGCATGGGTCCAGCCCACCTTGTAGTCGAATCCGTTATTCCATGTGAAAATTTGCCACCGCAAACCACCTTGGCAGTACTCTGTATCCCATCGAGAAGCCTGAGTGTTGAATACAGCTTGAGCAAGAGCAAGCCATTGTGGCTTGTCAGCAGGGGGATTTGGAAAGTTGTATTCGGCAGCCGACATGACGGAAAGACCCCAAAAGCCCTGGTCATCATTACCTTCTGTCCGAGTTTGATTTCTTGGCATATAGTCGTTGGTATCCCCGACTTGGAAAAGGAGAGCTTGCTGCGTGATATTATTATAAGCATCATCGCCAGTATAATACCAGTAATCGATGAGAGTACCCATCATAGCACCGGCCTCCCACCCTGAGAGCATTTGTAAGTAATGTGTCGCAGGGCAGTGCTGATAAGACTGCATGGGGAGACTACCTACAGTAATACGGATCGGGAAGAAGGCCGGGCGTTTGGCCAGGCTCATTGCCTTTATAAAAAGCTACCAAATCCTCTGCCATTTGTTTGGATATCGACGTTATAGACTCTACAAGATCCAAATTAGCCACTGATCCAATGCAAAACGATTGGCCGAGCTGATATCATCCTACCGCGAGAATCTGGGTTTAAGTCATATGCCGTGGCGAGCTGGCTGGTTGCTAATAGCAATGCCGTAGCCACGCGGACCAGCAGCGGCACTCGGCTTGGATTTTCCATGTTCGAAAATACGTGTTTTAGACACGAAGCTCAAAACCTGGTAGCGATAGAGAATCCCATGGGCCGGTGGTACAAGTAAAGAGTTTGTCAGCCGAGGGTATGTCGAGGCAGAGGCGGACCGCAATACGCTACAACTTCAGATCCATCGGCACTGCAGGATTCACACTCGAGCACCGGCACGAGGGCGAGAGTATTCGAAGCAGCACACGAATTCACTAAGCGAGTGACGTTGAGCGAGAGACAAGGGATGAGACAAGATTTCAAAGGACGGGGCACCAAGAAAGAAAGAAGCGAAGACAGGACGAGACAGGCAGCGTCTCTGTGGAGAGAGAAGGGAAATACGGGATGGACAAGCAGTGTCTGCGTCTACATAGATATCCAGAAGCGGTCCGGCTGGGGAGCTGCCACCGGCTCCGGAAGCGCTTGCATCGATAGCTCGCGGCATCGAGCCGAGCAAGAGCGGATTGACGCTCTCCTGACGTACGAGCAGAGCTGAGGAGCACCACCTTGGTAGGACTCTTGCTACAGAATCGAGCCCATGTGGCGAGGGAGTATCTTGGCCGTACTGGCCCCGGCAGCCTGTATGAGACAGTACTTTGGCGCTACATGGCGTCCGGGCCATGGAGCGATCTCTGCCTCTTTGCTTGCTTCTCTGGCAGACGGCAGTTGGAGAAAACGCCACAGGAAACCTTGGTAATGGTGGGAGTAACACAGCATTGGTGGCACGGCTGCTGTGCGCCGAACTATCTCAATGGCGAGCTGGTTCTAGGCCTGCGCCGCCAAGATGCGGCCAAGATGCCACCCAACGGCCCAAATACGAGAGCAGAGCCGCAAGCAGCAATGACAGCACGACGGCCCCGCTGAGGCCCGGCAGTTCGTGCAGAGCGGCGCGAGCCCATCAACCCAGTGCCGGGGGAGAGGCTGCTGAGTCCGGGAGACAGGAGCCACCTCGCTGTCCTGGTGGCAGCCAGAGGAGGCCATGATGGCCAGATGCGGAAACAGGCTGCAACGGGAGCATCGCAAGGGCCGCAGCGGCCGCAGGGAGGCTTTTTGTTGTTTTGTTTACGCGGCACGGGCACAAGGTGCTGACCGATTAACCCATCACTGTTTTTGCCTTTTGTTTCTTCTCGCTGAAGGGGCGCCGTGGCTGCTCCCTGTGCGGTGGTTGGTGCTTCAGCCGGCTCCAACACCGCTGAATCGTGCAAGAAGTAAGCTTGTGTTGGTGGAGATGGTATGGAGTCGGCTAGTTCAAGAGCCACCAAACCTACGTGGGCACATACATACTGAATGGGGGAAACAAAAGGGCGGAGGACTAGGGACAGCGCGGAGCAGCATGCTCGATAAGATCCATGGGCGTCGCATCATGAACACAACATGCTTCTAGGCGATATTCTCGATCTCTTCTCTGCTAGTGTGTAGCACGCTGCAGCGCAATGCCCGTCATACAGCGATGGCTTATCTGGCTCGAAATGCACCTACTTTTGATAGGGCAGGACAACGTCATTGCACCTTTTAGCTCTTTGTGATCTGCAAGATTGCGTATGAAAGAGTACATGATTGCGTCCAGAGGGCCATCTGTTGTATGCACCATCCAAGGCACCAGGACAGAGATGGAAAAGAGATGGAAAAGAGAGTGATCAAAGACGGGTTGGTCAGCCTAGTAGTAGCATTACGCTGTTGTGTTTGGTTCTTGGGTAGCTGAAAGGTTCATGTGGTGCCTGTGCTCTCTTCCTTCAGCCCTCATGCATAGGTAGGTACAGCATACTATGTATTATATGAGCACTCACATCATATTCGCTAGACGAAAGGAATCGCAGCTCGTATCGCCTGCATTGGCTTCAGGTACACCGTGATTATGCATTGTTTAGAGCTCAAGGGTTTGACCCTAAACTCTGACTATTGCGATACATCTATAAATACATGCACTCATACGAAGTGATGATTAAGACCAAGACCACTACAGTACGGTTACTGTCGCAGACTTATTGCTCTTATCTAGTGTCTTAGTGGCGAGGGCATCCGCTAAACAGCGAGCCTAACGCCAGGCAAAGCATTACTAAGACGGCGCCATGGATAGAATACGCTGCAAGGCTCGCTGAAGTCCTGTGCCTGAAAAAAAGTGGCTGCTTCGTAATCGTAACGATGCTTGTACTCTGTACTTCTTGGCTCGTACTTTGTCGTGGTCTGCCAATGGCTGAGGTAGATGCGCACGGATAGATGTTTGAACCCGGCGCCGCTCTTCCATCCATAGAGATGCTGTTGCACTGGTACGGAGTCTTCTGTGCTTTTAATAGTAGATTTCAGGTACACAAACGCTTTGCACCGACTAGCCGCTCGTCTCGTTCTAGGAATGCGTCAAAAGTCGCAAGCGAGGCGCTTTCGTCGATGCGATGAAACCGGCCTGCGACAGGAGGGAGTTGGTCAATTACCTTGTTGATCCGAAGCCGAGGCCTCGACATGCGCACAGTCACGCAGGTGGCCAAGGCTAAGTGCTTGTAGGTCATCTCTGGACATGGCCAAGCTGAGCAGCTTTTTCTTTTCAGCCTTTTGGAAAAGGCAGCATTATCAGCACACTTGTATTCGTATGTAGGCGCAAGTGAGACTCCAGGTACTGCTACTAAGGGCGGTCCGTTGAGTCGGCTTCTGGCCGAGGGGCAGCAGATCACGTGCACCTGTGAGAAGAGCGCAGAGCCACACTTGGCGGAGGGGACTGTGGCGGGGCAATGTAGCAGTACAAGCAGGATTTCAGGACTTGCTCCCGGAGCCTTGGGATGGTGATTCCGGCGTCTTCTCCGGGCATCCCAGAATGACATCTAAACCTCTGCAAGGCTGGCAAAACAGCGCAGTCAATGAGGGCTTATAAATCTCCAAATGACGCGCCCAGTGATTAATCGGAAGAGAACAAAAAACATGGACGACGCTGGGCATTCATACCGCGCCCGAAGGCGGCTGGAAGAGTGGATACGGAGTTGGCCGTACTCGGTACTTGTACTCGATACTTGTACTTGCGGTAGCGTGAGGCTGGGGCGGTTCCGTAGTCTCCGCGCTGTCGTCAGCCTGGGGGGCAACGCCTCCAGCAGGTATGCTCCCTAGGCCTAGGCGAAGGGGCTGCTCGGCGGGCAAAACGTAAACTTGTCTTCCTCAAAATCTCTGGCTGCCATTACGAACCATCCTCTCTCCATATCCGTAACAACACCAAACCACTTGCAACGTTGTCGCTTGAGTGCGCTCTACACTTCTGATCGCTCGCTCTCCTGCGTTTTTCCTGTTCGAGTCTATTGTATTGAATATTATACCCCGTCAAAATGTCCGAAGCTCCATATGATCCCTACGTTCCCAAGGGCGGTGCCGACCCGCAAGCTGGTGGCCAGTCGCGCACGCAGGCGCTCCAAGGTGTAAGTTTAGTTTAAATGTCGGACGAGATCAGTCTTTGACTTGAGACGAAATACCTTCCGTCTACGAGCCTTGATTTGCCGCCGAGTTCAGATTTGGCGGGCAGCTGGTGCGCTCATTATTGGGCTTTGTCACTGAGCAGTAAATGATTCGGGACTGCGGCCTCAGATTCATTCGATTTTTCTCGTCCGAAATGTCTAAAATATCCGACACAAAGGCTAATTCTTTTTCCGCATAGGAAATCGACGCCACGGTCCAAGTGATGCGAAAGAATATCGAGAATGTGGCTCAGCGAGGTGACCGCCTGGATGTTCTGCAAGATAAGACGGATAACCTGGCAGAATCTGCGCAAGGTTTCCGTCGCGGCGCCAACAGAGTCCGCAAGCAGATGTGGTGGAAGGACATGAAGATGCGAGTCTGTATCGTTGTCGGAATCGTTCTCCTCCTAGTTGTTATTATTGTTCCTTCTGGTATGCTCCCCAATAAGCCTTTGAGAATTATAGCGAAATACTGACTAGAGACTACAGTTGTTGCGACACACCACTGATGCCCTACTTTCTTTTGTTGGAGTACCCTGTTTTGTAACGTCGATGATGAATACCAGACGTCGTTCTCTGAAGCTTGAAGACTGAGCTCGAGATCAAATGAAAGGATTACGAATTGTTATTGGATGTTGGTTCTGTAAATGATGGAGTTCGTTGAAGACACGCCCCAGACTATTTTCACGGGAGATGTTGTCCTGAGGACTCTCAGGCTGGATTATGTGTATGACTTTGCAGGCTAGGCGTTCTTTCCGACCAATTGAGATAATGCGTGCTCTCTCTGGGTCTAGAGGAATCATAATGGGCTGATGTCTGGCCATGTTTTTATAATTTAAGCAATGGTATGGCCGCTGCGATAACTGCCACGATGCACCAAAATGTGATCAAATTTGCAAAGGCCTCATATGGAGTGCCAAATATAACCAGCAAAGATTTGAGCTCTGCTCTGACTTGATGACGCAGCCAGTGTTTTTTTTTTTTTTTTTTTTTTTTTGAATGGGATCTCTGAGACATTCTTCGACCTACTTTCTCCAGCCAGGTTATCAGCAGAGCCTAAGAGAACCTCTCTAATCCAATCAGATCAATTCGCTGGCTGCACGTACTGAAATGGCTTTGGGAATTAGTAGATCACGAACACGAATTTTCTTCTTACCAACGCTCTCACATAATAGTTTGGCTGAGCGAGTTCCCTATTCATCTTCCAACTAATATGACCTGTTTATGTCACTATCGTGCCGAGGCTCAAATGCCAAAACTGTTTCGCCAAACATATATGTCCATGTAGGTAGAGCTGAAATATGTATGGGCAAGCTATAGCCGCTTTCACCGCTCTAGTGATGACTCTATCACATGCCCTGTTCCGACTGCTGTTTAATCGCATTCTGACATCACTCACGGCAAGATCTACGCAGCTCTTTTACTGCTCATGAGAATTCTGACATCAAGGCCAAAAGCTCCGCCTATGCACATCATTTTTACTTGCACAGAGTGTGACCAACAGCTGAACATCCATCTTGTCTGGCTGGGAGGGTTTCACCGCCTGCCCGCAATTGGGAGCGATTTCGGGCGGGTTGTTTTTTCTGCCCCTCCCCCCACATATTTGCTAGGCCAAGCTTGAGTGACTCTTCTTATCTGATCTTAACCTTGCGCATCCTCATATCTTGCTACTTTCCAATTTGCCGGGTCAATTGGACCAGAAAACTTCGTGAAACATGATTTCTGCAGCCTCTGTGGCCCTGCGGGCCGGTGCTCGACGAGGTATTCCCAGAGCTGCGGCTGTTGCTTCTGCTCTCAACGCCAGTCGCAGGGGTATCTCAGCGACGAGGTCTCTAGCTCTTCCCGCGAAGGACCGAACTCGGGAGATTGTCGCCCAGACCGTGAGCAGCATCGGCAGCAAGCGCGAGGGACAGCAGTATCTCAAGCTCTTCACCTCTGTCTCGTCCCAGAAATTCGCCGTCATCAAGGTCGGAGGCGCTATTTTGTAAATATGTACCTACCAATATGAGTGCTGTGTTAATAACGCTGCTTTACACAGAACCGAGTATCTTGAGGAATTGTCTCGAAGTCTTCTTTTCTTAACAGAGCTGGGTCTCTACCCGGTCATTGTGCATGGTGCTGGCCCTCAGCTCAACCGCCTCCTCGAGGAAGCCGGCGTTGAGCCTCAGTTCGAAGAGGGTATCCGCGTTACCGATGCCAAGACACTGGGTGTGGCCCGCAAGCTCTTCCTTGAAGAGAATCTCCGACTAGTGAACAGACTGGACGAGCTAGGTATTGCGACTAGGTCTCTCAGCGGTGCCTTCATGGCCGATTACCTGGATAAAGAGAAATGGCAGTATGTCGGAAAGATCACCAAAGTTAACAAGGAAGCAATTGAGAAGTCCATCGAGGCTGGATACATCCCTGTGCTTACTTCTATGGCTGAGTCTGAAGACGGCCAGCTTCTCAACGTTAACGCAGATGTAGCCGCAGCTGAGCTTGCTCGTTCACTGGAGCCTCTGAAGGTGGTGTATTTGTCCGAGAAGGGTGGTCTATTCAACGGCGACGGAGAGAAGATCTCGCACATTAACCTGGACGAGGAGTTTGATCACCTCATGGCACAGCCCTGGTGCCGTTACGGTACACGTCTTAAGATCAAGCAGATCAAGGAGCTTCTCGATACTCTTCCCAGGACATCTAGCGTTGCTATTATCCACCCTAGCGATCTTCAAAAGGAGCTTTTTACAGACTCTGGCGCCGGTACTCTGATCCGACGCGGAGACAAGGTCCAAAAGGTGACTTCTGTCTCAGAGTTTGAGGATTTGGATAAGATCAAGGCCAGCCTGATTCGAGAGCGTGGGGGTCTCGATGCCGAAGCAACTGTTGACCGGTTCATTGACTTCCTGAGGGAGAATCCTTTCACTGCCTATTTCGACGATGCGACGCAATGTGTTGCTATTGTTATGCCAGCTGGAAAGGACCGACCGATGGCTACCCTTGCTACTCTAGCCATCACCAAGTCTGGCTGGCTCACCAACGTTGCGGAGAACGTATTTGCCGCCATCAAGAAGGACCACCCTAGCCTTGCCTGGACTGTCAATGAGAATGACGAGAACTTGACCTGGTTCTTTGAGAAGGCCGATGGCAGCTTTAACCGCAACGGAAGCGTCCTGTTCTACTATGGCTGCGATCTTCGATCCGATGCTCTGGCTCCGGTATACGATGACTTTGTCTCTCACGGACGTGCTATGTTGGGTGATTCCAACCTCGAGGCTCGACTGCGACGTGCCGCCCAGGCCGCGAGCGAGGCTTTGAAGGGCTCTCAGGCCTAAGCTTATTCTAGATCATGTCCCTGTTTGTTCCGTGATGGACAAGTTGGCGACGAAGTGGGGATTCTTATAGAGATATTCCTTGAATGTGATGGAATAAGAGGGGAAAAGAGGCGAAACGAAAATGTAACATCATCCTTTACGGAGTTTAATGGCGGGAGGCTTGACTGGAAATATAGCGGCCGATTGAAATATAAATAAATATGTATTATATTTACAAACTTGTCTCATCAAATCATGTTGCTGAGGCGTTGACGACGGATCAGGCAGCCGCAGTCTATATCACAAGTAGGAATGGTCTCGATAGAACTCAGCCCGCCCAAGTTGCAGCATTTCGCTTAGCCTGTATCAGTTTACTCCACGCAATGGTCCAACCTCCAAAGCATCAGCAGTTTTAGAAGAGGCAATTCACGTACGCAGCAGTCGTAACGAGGGGCTGCAGCGGCCTTTTGGTTTAGACTCTGACTTTGATGATGACGATTTACGGAGAAATACACATCAGTTGATAATGTGCAGCGCTATAGTGGAAGACGCATATTAGTACGTTGAGACTCCATTAGAGCTTGGATCGCTGTGCAAGGTACCATGTGATCTCAGAACAGACTGTCAACTCCATCAACAGCATTGTCTAGCGGTCTATTGGGATTATAAATATTGATAATACTTTCGAGGAACATATGCTATGCTAGGCGAGTGGTAGCTTGTCCTGTTCCAGTAATTAGATTTCGCCGTGAGTTGCTCTGATTTTATGGGCAGTGACATACATCCCAATGATAAGCTGAGTTATCTATGTGCCAGTCAACCACGGTGTTATCAACAGTTTACACATTTGCCAACCTTTGTGATTCTTGCCCACATAGCGTTTAATGTATATCCAATGATCCAAACATACGCTTGTCTCGACCATGGCCTCCGCGCTCCAGCTGTCGCCAAGCTGTCACGGCAAGCAATGAGCCTGACCGCAGCTATCACGTGACTACGCATTCAATGTGCGCCAACGCTCCCAGAAACGGTGATGGAGCTCTGGTGGATTCGTAGAAAGCTCCCCAAGACCACACTCCCTTTTTCGATCTTTCCCACCACAAAACAGCGCCAACACGTTTCATTCTCCAGCAATGGCGTCGCGCTCACCATCTCGAGAGTACCGCCGGTCCTTGTCACGGTCTCCTCCCCGGTCTGACGACTCGCGCTCGCCGCCACCAGCGCATCGCCGTCGACGCTACGATTCGCGATCCCCGTCGCGTTCGCCTCGATCCAGATCGCGATCGTTTACGCCGCCTCCTCGTCGCAATGGACGTCATAGGAGTACTAGCAGAAACAGGAGCCGTGATCGCGGTAGGGATTCTCGATCGCCCGGCGAGAGCCCTCTGGCGAAGAGTACAAAGGTATGAAAGCTACGTAAATCGAGCGCAGGACAAACGCAGGTGCTAACTTGGCTACGAAAATAGATTGTGGTAGAGAGACTGTCGAAGAACATTAACGAGGACCATCTTTATGAGATATTTGGTCAATTTGGACATATCAAGGATCTTGATCTGCCAATCAACCGAAGTTGTCAGTCATATACAGAGCCGCCTCACGACCTCTAATTTACCTTTTCGTGTCGTTGTTGCTAACATGTCTTGGACGAATTATAGTCGGCACAAATCGAGGCACAGCATACATCCTGTACGATCACGAAGCCGACGCCGAAGCCGCCATTTCACACATGCACGAGGCGCAGGTCGACGGCGCCGTTATCAACGTCTCCATCGTCCTACAGCGCAGAAAGCTATCGCCCGCACCCCCTACAGCTCGGCGCGGCGCCAACATTGACCCTCGAGTCCCCTTCCAGGGCTCTCGCGGAGGAGGCCCACCTTCTGGCCCGATGGGTGGTGGTGGAGGAGGCGGTGGGCGCCGTCGCCTCTCTCCAGCAAGTCGATACGGTCCTCGCTCTGATGTCTACCGACCCAATTTATCACCGGCCCGATCACCTGGCGGTGGCCCTCCATCTCGTGGTGGTGGTGGTGGCGGCGGCGGTCGATACCGCAGCCGATCCAACGATTCATACTCTTCTCGCTCTCGATCCAGATCACCAGGACCCAGACGACGGGGTGGAGGAGGAGGGGGAGGTAATGGAACTAGTCGGCGTGATGATTATGATGCCCGACGCCGCAGTCGCAGCCGCAGTTTCGACGACGATCGTAGCACAGGTCGAAACTATAGGTAAAAGGAAAGAGGGAAAGGGCCCCTAATTAATGGCATGTCTTTTAGGCTTGGGAAATAATCTTTGCTTCTTGTTTTAAAAACCACTGATGGCGTTGGGAGCTCAAAGGAAAGGCACAAGGGGGGGCCTGTGGCAAATGGACAAACAACAATAATGTTGGAACCGCTGGGTTTCATAACTCATAGGGCTTGTGAAGTTTTACAGATATCATGATGGCTAGATAAGCCTAGTTAAATGGTTTGCGTATGTTGGGCGATTGCCTCGAGATAGACGAGATATCACTGCAATAATAAAAGATTGTATGTCATACCGTCTTTGCTGCTTCACAGTGTGCTATTTGGAATTAATCATTCTTGTCTTGAACGTATGGTGCTTGCTCTTATTTCCTGAAATGCATTTACCCTGCATTTTTGCTTGAAATTTCTTAGTAGGTAGATTATGGAGTAGTATATAATGAGGATTATGGCCATTTCTGAATATTTTAATTAAAAAATTAGTTTATAGACTATTATTCACTCTATGCTTGGACCAAACACGAAGAGATCGGGCAGATATGGCATTACATCATTGTACCAGGTTAATTTGAGATGTACTATGTTTTTATTGAATAGGTAGGTATATATGCTGCAGTGAAGTTCCACTAGATCCATTGAATAAGAAACAACTTGGCAGTTAAAGGCACTTCATTTATGAATACTCACTCATGGTCACTATAATCATCTTCTTGTTGTCATGGATAATTATGCCTCTTTATTATATGACCTAATTCNAAAAAAAAAAAAAAAAAAAAAAAAAAAAAAAAAAAAATCCCGAACATCTAAAACGTTTCATTACTTCCATCTACCAATGAAGGTCCACACATCTGCTTTAAAAAAAAAAAAAACA